CCCCAAAACCCCAAAACCCCAAAACCCCTGAGATACTATTAATAAATTAATGAAATTAATTTAATTAAAGCTAATTTACAAAACTAAGTTTCAGAGTCCTAAAATTTCAATGAAATTTATTATTCATAAATCGTATTTTTCGACGACATCTGCAAGATTAATCCTTTTCATATCTCTCATCTTATCTGCTTTGACATCCATTTTCATTTTTCTGATCTCAATTTCAAGTTACTTACTTTGGTTTATCTTTGGTACATGAGATCTTACTTCCTTTTAATAATATTACTGAGCTTTACGCTACAGTAATAATTTATCTCTAACGCCGCTGTCATTTAAATGAATATTCCAATATTTTTCTTTTCTTTTGACGCTTTTTTCCTCTGGACTCAGACTATGTTTTTCTTCTTATCTAGGACCTTAAGAAGACATATAGCGAGGCATCACTTAAACAGATGCTCTCAAATCCTTATTCAAAACCATGCTCAAACCTAATTAGTTTTTGTTTACATTTTGAGATTGATTTAGAATGTGAACTGATTTGTTAACTGGAATTGTTAAGTAGTTTTTACTCTTCCTCTTAGGTTCTATTTCAAATGGCTATATCTTGTTTTACTTTATTTATGGAAGTTTCAAATTCTATTCTGCTCTTTCACTCTGATCTCCGTTTCTAAATTAACTACTAGACTTTTATTTGATTACCACTTGCCTTGAATTTTAAATTGAACTTTGCATTTTAGTATAAGAGCTGTTTCTTTTTTCACTGCTTTTTAAATTTGCTGATCTGAATTTTTTATCATCCATTGGAGTAATATGAGAAAATGAAGAGTGATACGCTTCACTGTCAGAAACAAGTTCTTAACTCACTCTTTCTCTTATTCTCCTATTTTATTCCTCTATGATTTTATTCTCTTTACCCTTCTTTGCATTTGCTTCATCCTATTAAGTTTGCTTGAAGACTTAAGTATATTTTTTAGCTAGCTCTCACCTATCAATTGTTTTCTGTGATTATATTATAGTTTGAGAAGCATTAGTTTATTATTTTTTAAGAATAGGGGACATTTTAGGATCAATCCTTGTTTTCTAGCTCTTTAAGGGATTCCTCGGTGGAAGCCCTTTAGTCATTTATCTACCTATCCCAGAGTTTTATGTCTCATCTAAAAATTTTTTAGTGATTTGTGGAGCAAGTTCTGGAGATTACTCTAATTATAAATTATTTCTAGTTTTATTTGAAGTGATTGCTCTTTTTGGAGATTTATCTGATTTTTGGGGCGAATTAACATTACTTTTTTTTATTTATTATAAGCTTTTAACCTGGCCTAATTTACCTCTTAGGGCTTGACCAAATTATGAGCCTAGTGAAGGTTTTTAATCTTTTTCCTGGTCAGCCTTCAATTTACTGATTTTGCTTAATTTTGTTTTAGACAAAACTACCCTACTGTTTGGATTAAGGGGATCAATTTATTCCTGTGGCGTAATAAGTTGGCCTGAAGTGTTAAGATGGTACATATAGAATTCATAATTATCTTCAAAGTTGAAACCAGGTTCTTTATCTTTTTCTAATTGCTCAAATCCACTTTAATTTTTATTGCTAACCATATCTCTAGATTATTTTCTACTGAGAGAATTAAGCTGACCTTATCAAAGATGTTAGTATTCTAGAAATGTCAAGTCCTTAGTATTGTTAATATCTTTATTTAAAAGTTTCTTATCAGCGTAGTTTTAACTACCTATAGTTTAATTTAACAACTCTTCTTTTTTAATTTTCATTTTTAATCTTTCCTCCTCAATCTGATTGTTTATTTTTCTTGCCTCATCAACAGCTTCTTCTAATAACTATTATCTGTATAATAAATCTGAGAATCCCTTCCTCTATTAAATTTCTTATTCTAGCAATTTTAGTTTGTCAAGAACATTTTAAGAGTCTATTTTTCCATCTTTTTGAATATAGCCTTTTGTTAATTTAGGATGCCTGGGAGGCTAAAATAGAGCCTTTGTTAATTTCTTCCCTTTTTTTTATTAAGTAGTTTACTTTGAATAATTTTAATAAGTTTGTAATGAAGAAGTAGATTATGAATTAGATTTGATTTCAGGAAGTTGGATTGTCTGCTATTTCATGCTTTTTTTACACAACTTAATTTTAATATTTTATTTTATGAATTCGTAGAATGTTTAGTTTGATGGGGTTTTGGGGTTTTGGGGAGATCGGAAGA